AAAAAAAAATCAGGTTTATTTCAAAAAATACAGAACAGATTTTAAAAGTTTCTTTACCAACAGAAAAGTCTTTTAACAATGAGTGACAGACTGTATACTATGAGCGTGTAACACGAATGGATAAGATATGGAATGAGTATATCAGAAGATTGAGAGTAGCCCCAGTGGTAAAGATAAGGAGTAAAAGGTTAGCATGGTATGGGCATGTTGAGGAGGGATGAATCACATGTAACAAGGAGAACGTTAGTTATAAGTGTAGAGGTACACCGGTAGAGGTAGAGTAGACAGAGATGGATGGATTGCGTGAAAGGTGGAAATGATGAAGGGAGTGATGACTGAGATGACGGATGATAAAGTTATTTGGAGGACGAAAACTCGGTGCGCAGACCCTAGTACTAGGAGTAGGATAAGGCTGAGGATAATGATGATGAACCAAGTAATATGAACAGCTACAGTACAAGAAGTTTGAGCATTAGTGTGTTGTAATATATGAACACAGGTTGAGATAGTCCTGTAAGTACCTGTGAGATGGTAAGCGAGTTATCACTATAATCCCTAGTAACTGTGAGGAGAGGGTATCCAGTCTGCGTGGTCCAGGTATCCATGATCTGTTTGACGGTAACGTTCCGCGAGAGGCCGCCATGCCGCTGCGTGGCCGCAGTCAGCTCCGACCACAGGTCGTCCTGCTCCGCGTTACCATACGAGTGCTTCACCAGGTAACTGGTTATAGAAAACGTATCCCTTAATAAATTTCACCAGATGCTCACTACATGTCCCCACTAAGGGTCTCGGTGCCTTCTCTATATGGTGACTAGGCCATAGTCAACCACACTGGCCCAATGCGGGTTGACTTCACACAATTCTTTGAATATCTTTGCCGATATGTGCAGACATCACGATGTTTTCCTTCACCGTAAGAACGTCGGGTAAATTATGTACCTACATATAAATTTAGAAAAACCTAACTTAAAATCATATTGGTACATGGCGGGATTTGAACCTAGGACCTGTGGATTGCAAGTCAAGTGCACAAACCCCTGAGCCACTAACGCTCTTAATAAATATATTTTTATTTAACTAATAATGGTAAAGTCAGCTATATACATGTTCGCACTGTAGAGATTGGCCGCAATACCACGACCACACAGAAGACAGGCGTGAAGTGGGAGTAATTCCGCGTACAGTCTGATGGTGCCGAAAAAAAACTCAATAATGTGGAACAACATCGACATATGATAAAAAACTGTAAAAGAAGAACAGTTAATAATGACTTAGTTTCCACTTAGAATCAAGGGTGTAGTTCTGGTTACTTACTTGTTGATGGCCTCGCGGAAGACGTGTTCTCCGAGGAACATGGTCATCATGCGGATGATGGTGGAACCTTTGCGGTACGAGATCTCGTCGAAGATCTCAGAGATACGCTTCGGGTTATCTATAGGTACTGATACCTGTAAATTTTCATACTAATGTTATAAATGCGGTTTGGATAGAGGGATATTTATAAGCATTTTCAAAAAGATTCAATGTATCTTGGTGAAATTTGTCACAGAAGTTGAAAATATTTTAGAAAAAAACATAGGCTACTTATTGAGTTCTTTTAATTCCGCTCAGATAAAATTGCGGACAAAAGAAAAATTTTGAATAGAAAAAAATGGATTTTAGTATGGTCCAACTGGATTACGTTTCTTAAATCTCTGCCTCTTTGTCAGAGCCTATATTCTCATACATTTCCGTTCCAATTTTGTATACTGTAACTTTCTTACATAACTAGAACACTTTGAAAACCACTGATTTAGTACTTTCAAGGTTATTAATCACTGATTCTTAGTATATTTTTAAACATATATGAACTAGCGTTTGAATTCGATCCCACGTAGACTAAAGTAAACATATGATTGAAGATAGTATGTCAGTTTAAATGTATTCTGACCGGATGCGAGGACTCGAGCGCGTCCAGACTGAGCACGGAGAGTATGTTGTCGACGGCGTAGCTGCGGTCCGCGCGCCAGCCCGGCTCCGTGGCCGCCACGCCCACCGACGCCGCGAACGTCGCGAAACCCTCGTTCAGCCACAAGTCCGACCACCACTTCATCGTCACCAGGTTGCCGAACCACTGGTGGGCTAGCTCGTGAGCTATCACCTATAGACATTCCTAAATAACTAAAGTATAAGACAAGTAATCTATACTAATATAATAAAGCGTAAACACACTACTTCGTGGCGTATGATGTCAGCAATCCCAGTATTTTTTAATAATACCCAGGCTATATATTTTCGGGCTATTAAATTTAGAAAGTAAATAATTTGGACAAAACCTTAATATGGGAAAGGCACCAAAAACTACAATCTGTCAACATTAAGGAAGCAATGTTATTATGTAACGGTAACTGGTATCCAATGCCAAAGGTCTTCGTTATCATTTGTTCGTTTGAATTTTGACATATGCACTTGAATTTTTAAAACTTCATCCGGATGAAGCCGCACGGGAACAACTAATAACTTTATACACAAGGAATAGTGAACCTTTAAAAACAATATCCTCAAGAAAGCAATAAGAAACACCGCGAATTTCCATGACTGTAGCTATACAACCTCTAAGACAGGATTACGTGACATAAGTGACTAAAGGCCGTGCTTCAGTTCGCACTAAGGTCCGTGAACTGACCTCAGCGACCCTCTCCTTGTTGAGGAAGGAGGACTGCTGGTTGTCGTAGAGCAGCGCCGTCTCGCGGTAGGTGACGAGGCCCCAGTTCTCCATGGCGCCGGCGCTGAAGTCGGGGATGGCGATCATGTCCTGCTTCGGCAGCGGGAACGACACGTTGAACCACCGCTCGAAGTGCGACAGCACGCGGGGGCCCAAGTTGGCCGCGTAGGCCGTCTGATCATAGTTATTATAACTTAAGTGAACTGAATAATGGAAACCCAATAAGAATGTGCAGGGTTCTCAATGTTCAAATGGTTTAAGAACTTGAAGCAACAAAACAGCAAAAAAATATCTAAGTGAAATATCTGGAAAGCAGGTAAACTTATAATAATTGACTTCTATCTATAGATAATAAACTGCAATAAACTAACAATAAATGTGTGACTATTTATGTTAAATTAACAGAGCAAATAATAAACAAAAATCAGTTAGTCTATTCCCATTCTTCTTTGCCTTATAAAACCAATCATCATCATCATCATCATCCTCCTCCTTATCTTCTTAGGGTCGGCGCAACAGGTTTTTGTCCTCCAAATAATTTTATCATCCGTCATCGCAGTCATCACTCCCTTCTTGATCATGTCACCTTTTACGCAATCCATCTCTTTCTGTGTCTACCTCTACCGGTGTACCACACTCATAACTAACGTTCTCCTTGTAACATGCCCATACCACGCTAACATTTTATTCCTTACTTTCGCCTTAAAAAAACAATTTAATTTATAAATTCTTAAAACATTTTAATCTATACCATCTGCATATGTCAAAGTGACATTGACAGCTAACGTAATTACAGATAAAAACCATTTCTATTACAGGTATAGTATAGGTACAATTACAGTTTTATTTGTCATTTTAAACTTATTTACCTGATCAATAGCATCGCTTCTAGCCCAAATCCTGAACTTTGTATTAGCGAGTTCCGGCGGACTCTCGACGTACGCGAACTTTGACACAACAAACGCGACCAAGTAAGTCGACATCGGCACTGAGTTCTCGAACTGGTCCCACACGAAGTGAGCGCGGTCTTTCCTGGATTCATTACAAAGAACATGGCAATCTTAATTCATAGTACAGTTTAATAACCACAGCAGTTTAATTCTTTTAAAGGTTAAAATAAATCATTAATTTAGTTTTTTTACTCACTTAAATTTCTTGGCAATTGTTTCCCAAGGCCAAACATCTTCAAGGACACTGTAAAGAAGATAGTTACGTTACTATTTTAACAAAGCGTAAACAAAACATCATCTTTGCTATATAGGATGTCAGCTATAAACATATTTTTAAATAATTCTCATTTTAATAATAATCCTTACATTCAAAACACGATATTGGCTATATATTTTCACGCTATTTAATTAAAGGGGTAAATAAACTGGCAAAACTTCTCCAAGAAAGGAACAAAAATTACAAACCAATAGGAGCAAAGAAAGTTGCCAAAGGTATTCAAATTCTCAACCAATGGTAAGGTCCCTTGTTGTGATTTAAACATTTGAATTTCGACATTTGCAATTAAAAGTTACATAAAATGTACATCTTTCTTAATAATCTTACTAATAATATTAATGCGAAAGTTTAGATGGATGGATTTGTTAGAGTTTGTAGCCTAAACGGCTGAAGAGATATTGTTGAAATTTGGCATAGACGTAGAGGATAATCTGGAAAGAACACATAGGCTACATGCTTTTGTTTTTTTTAATGCCGCGCGCGAAAACTGAACGAAATGTATCGCGAACAGTTCAAAATAGAAGAGAACTTAAATTGAACTCGCCATCTTCAGCCGAAAAGCATTACTTCACACTAGACGCGTTTCTGTATGGATGTACAATTACTAGAATTAGTAACTCACTTGACGGTAGTAGTATTAAACAGCGGCATATTGGAGACGGCTGTGAACTCCTCATGGTGACCAATGTTCAGTTTGAAGGTCGCTTTGTAAATGGGCTCGTCGAAGCAAGGGAAACCCTTACGAGCTGATATCGCTTCGAATTGAGTCGCTATCAGATACCTGCGAGTAAACGTATTATTTAAATATAAATATGGTTTCTAGAATGTTCTAGAAGAAAACTTAGAATGATTTAGGTCTTTTACACGGTCTGCTGTGTATGACTATTACAAAATCATTATTAAAATAAACGAAATATGGTAAGTTGTCGAAAACATGGTATTTAGAACTAAAACGTCAAATAATTTATAGTAGACCTTCAAGAAGACCAATAAAATTGCAAATACTGCTAAACGGATATCGGATTTCCAGTCCTTGTTGACCCAAATATCGTAACTTTTTACGAAAAAAATATAAAAAGAAAATAAAAACTCACTCTCTAAGCTTATTCTTCTTGTTAACATATGTACTGATATAAACACCATCAAGTCCGATCTTCAAATTGCCATAGAAGGGTATCTGCACGCGATAACTAGTGCCTTCTAGAAGTTCCTTGTTCAAGGTTATAGTGAGGAAGTTGTACGTATCATTGATTTTGACAGAAGTAGCAACCGGCACATCACCAGCACCCTGGAATACCACTTTATCCTCTGCTATCGTATAATCCTGGGCGTGCAGAACGATCTTTGATGTCGGCTTTTTAACATCCAACTGAAAAAAAGAGATTTTACTGTATGAATAGGCAAAGATTTTAATTCACTACCCTGTTCGAATATCGCTGTCTCTAAATTTGTATTGTCATCTCACTCATTCTCTTTGCAATATAAGACACGAAAACAGATATGAAAACTAGCCCAGCAGTAAATTTCATTGTACAAGCGTTAATTTAACATATATGTTGCTGTTTCACCAGCGGGTAGGAAATAAAAGTCCTAAACTATGCAAAATGAATTTATTGTTAGAAAGGATTTTTTATGGACCCATTATTTAGAGTCATTATCGTATATTTTAAAGCGAATTAATGAGGAATGCATTTGTACGTAATTAGTTACATACGCATGTTTAATCTGCCATATAATATTCCGATTTTCCTGCAATTAAGTCGTTAAAAAGTAATAGTTACGAGGAAAGTGCAGATTCTTATAAGATCTTGGATTGGAGAACTGAATACTTTTTAGCTACAACATGTCTAGCGACTTTCTCAACCAGTTCTTACGTCAGTCGTATATTGCCCAACGATTTCTTTGTAAGCAACTGTAAGGATGTGATTGATCATAACAGTGTATTGAAAGGCTAAGGAAACAGAGCGTGCTACCGCGACAAATCTTAGCTTTAGACGAAAGGAATGCTGTTACGCTTCACGCTTACTATTGTTACATATTTCCAATTTAATACACGTTAGAAATAATCAATTGTTTTAAATCGTTACAGATAGTTATTGATGTTTATCAGATATGTAATTTATATGAAACTAATGTTTCTTGGTAAACCTTGTTAGAGGGCATGAATAGGACTGCATCTTAATTAATATGAGCCAGGTTTGCTAGGAAATTGTGATAAAACTTATTCTGTGATAGTTTATAATCTATCGGTATCTGAACACCAAATTGTCGTTAAGCGGAACGGAATGCAACATCACCGTGTGTTTTGATTGGTCGAATTTGACGTCGCACCGTCAAATGACAAAAAGATTAGGCTGTTATCTGTCATATTTCAATCACTGATCGTAAACAAACCAATGTTTTTGATTCTAATTAAAAGAAGAATGGTTTTAATTAATTATTTTCATAGTAAAGTCGTTAGGACTGTTAGATTACGGTAATATTAAAAGTGACAAACTGAAGTGATAATTGTTCTGGCAGCCGCAAGTTGTGTACCAAATGTTATTTTTGTTATAAAAAAACTTACTGAATATAAGATATTCAAACAATGTCTATTAAACCAGATTCTTCTCTAAACTCTGAATATCCGGTCGTCGATAAAGAAGAATTTAACACAAAAGTACAAAACTATTACAAAACACACAGTGTGAACAGCAAGAAGTTAGAATGGACGAGAGATAGAATAGAAGATGTGATCAAACTGCTAGAAGATTATAATAAAGCTAAATTCCGTGGCATACGAGCAACGAACAAACAATATCACCACGCACATAAATACGACGTCATTAAAACTGGTAATCATAAAGTATTAATTCTTAAAAGAAAAGATACTTCACATCCAACATTAGAAATGATTCCTACAGAGGATTATTATCAGAAAATTCTCGAAGCCCATCTCGCCACAGGTCACGGCCGAAGAGACAAGATTGTCAATGCATTAAGAACTAAATACATGATACCAATATTTGCAATTAAAATATTTCTTGACCTTTGCAGAGTATGTATGACACATAAAAACAATTTCAGATACAATTTTAAGTCAACCCCCATTAAACCCATATCTTCTAAAGACTTTAACATGAGCGGTCAAATAAATATTCTAGACTTCCAAACAAGTCCGGACAAAGACTACAAATGGTTATTGCATTATCAGGATCAAACAACGAAATTTAGTTTTCTACGACCATTGAAAAGCAAAGATGTGAAAGAAGTCGCTTTAGAAGTTCTAAAAATATTCCTACAAACTGGCTGTCCTAATATCTTACAAAGTTCCGATGGAATTAAGTTTACTACATCAGTACTAAGCGAAATCACTACATTATGGTCAGCTTGCGATGTCATCCAAGGCCAAATAATAGATCCACAGAACGAAGAAAGCATAGAAAAAACTAAACAAGATATAAAAAACATGATACAAGCATGGATGGTTGATAATAATGGAACAAATTGGTCCTTTGGATGTTATTTCGTTCAATTTCAAATTAATTCATCTTACCAACTAACAACTCATAATACTCCGTATAAAGCTGTGTTTGGGACTGATCCTAGATTAGGAGTTACATCTTTATCGGAAAACATGGTCACCCACTTCTCAGTGGAAGTAAAAGTAGAGGAAGGTTCAGAAGATAGTGAGAACAATGAAGAAAAAGACTAAATAAATATTGAAACATATAGGAATAGGAAAAGGCTGGATGTATTTTTTTTTGTTTTATTTAAAGTTTTTCAAAGTTGCCATTTTAAAAAGAAATTGTTAAAGTTAAAATATTTAATTATATCACAGGGCTAGATTTACTCTACTGGAAAATATTTACAAAAATCCATTATTTTTAATATTGAGTGCAACTAAAATGAAACATTTTTTTTAATTTGTCACTTTTATTTTATTTATGTGATACAGTTTTTAGTTTAATAATTTTATGTAAATAGTAAATTAATAAAAGATAATTTTAGTCTTATTTACTTTGTATACAAAAGTTGACAGTTAGAAGCATAATAAGCTGTAAAAAAGTTGAGTAAAACATACCTAATGGAAATCTATAACCTCTGTTTACCCCTATAAGTTACAAGCGTGAATGTTAGTGTAGTTAAAAATAAGGCTTGCTACAAAAGGAACAAAAGAGTATGAAAAAAATCTCAAAAAGCAATTTCACAGGGTCAACGAACAGTTTCGAATTTCAAACACAATAAGGTTTTGTGACTCCCACTCCAAAATTATCTTGGTAAGACAACAATAGAGTCGAGTGCGTTACCCTGATAACGTCATACGTATTAAACCGCAAGGTAACACTAGTTAAATACATCGAGCAATATATTATTACTAGCGTACCGCCTCGGTTGCGCACGGGGTCCAATGCTGATACGAAAACGTTTATTTATGACATTACATCTAAATTTTAGACGAATTGAGTTCCTCCTTTTGGGAAGTCGGTTATAAACTGCATAAAAATCCGTTGCATATTTGTATCGCATACATAAGGACATACAGACAGTGGGAAGCGACTTAATGTATACTATGTAGTGATATTTATTTTACATTTTTAGATACTCTAAGAAGGGGTCAGAGGCCCTCCCTCCTATAGCAACGCCCACGCCTGTTTCATAACTTAAGGTGAACTAATATGATAAAGAGGAAAGATTTGTATGTATTGAAATAACTCAAAAACTACTGAGCCAATTTTAAAAATGCCTTCACCACTAAAAAGGTACGTTATCAATGAGTAATATAGGCTATTTTTTTTTAAATAGACGGAGACGAAGTCGCGAGCGACAGCTAGCTTATAATATAAAAGTTAGGCCTTGTAGTGTCACTTTCTTAATACATACTACGACAGATTGTAATTTATACGTTCGATTTCCTTTTAATTTGCTTAGGCACTATATACAACCTTAATATCTATTTAACCTTGTAACTGATTTCACTGGTCAAACCCAACAATCGGTGTATTCAGTGAGTACACGACCTGCTGCAGACGTGGTCGGCCTTACAATGACCATAGAAAGTGGGTTATGCACTACATAGCTTTGTAAGACATTTAGGTGCATTTGGCAATGTCTGTCTAGTTTAGTCCAAACTGTATGACGTTATTGGTAAAGTACAATCGCGGAAATCCGAGGTGTTCCATTCCAGAAAAATTTACCCTGTACATAGCAACGAGACAAACTCCGCCTCTTACAAATATAGCAGATGGATGGGTGTTTGTTAGAGTTTGTAGTCTAAAGGGTTGAATGGATTTCGATGAAATTTGGCATAGAAATAGAAGATAGTCTGGAAGAACACAAAACTACTCAGTTTTGTTTTTAAATTGGAATTGGAATTGAATTTGGAATGTTACCTTTAGAATTACAGCGGGCGCACTTTGACTAAATTATGGCACAACATTTGCGCGCGCTCTAAATACACACACCCGTAACACAAAGGTGTAGGTAGACATTGTAATTAGAGCAATCCGTTTACAATCTGAATGTGTATATAACAAGGATTAGATTCTCTAGAGGGAGGTTAGGGGGCTTAGCTGCTCCTCTATAGAAAATCGAAAAATGTCAAACAGATATTAAAAGTTTGAATAAAACAACAACAGTGGTAACTGTCCTAGACCTAGTCTAGTTTATCAACTGGCCACATGCATACGAACTAGGAGGTAAAGTACAGTCAGCAAAGCATGATCAGTTAGACCTCCCCTAAGTCTTTATCATCTGACGTTAGTTGCTAAATGCACAGCTCCCAAGTCTGACGGTTCCCTAATTTTTCCTCAGTATAAAAACATCTACGCATAAATAGTTTTCGTTTACGCGTGTACTCTTGCAACATTGTTACCTTCTTAAGCCTTAACGTCTCGATTAATTTTAAAAAGTAATGCGTCGTTCGATTTGCATTCTTTCCAGTATTGTCATAGAGTTCTTTTTAATTAATTTATATGAACAACACTCATGTATTCACAGTATAACAATGTATCGAGAAAAGATTGTAATTCCAAGCAGAAACCGCACAAGGTTTTCCTTGTCTTTACTCTGACAAATAACGTATATATTTTATTGTCATTGATCGTCCTTTATATTTTAGGGAGACCATAACATGTATTAATACAAGTTTAGACAATGAAAACTCAACATGTGATCAAACTTACCAAGATATCAGCAACACCAAAGAAGCTGTAATTAGTTTTCGGGTCCACGTCGAAAATTAGCCTCACGTCGTAATGCT